AATGTCTGATAATTCCACGCGGACTGTCTTAACGGAGGATAACGAAGGGGATCCCAGGTCCCTCGCTGTTATAATTATTTCATACTGTGCTACCAACTCTCTGTCTAAGCGGCTCTTTGTCACTAACGAATAGAAATTGTCCTCACTTGAATGCTTCAGGTCAAAAGGCACATCCTCAGCTAGTGTACAAACTACCTGTCCATTCACACCTGAATCCAGGTCAGTGACTCCGATCAGCGCCACCACGGTACCTACAGGCGCGTTCTCAGGAATGTGACTGGATAAAGAGGTGATGTCTATCTCAGGCCTGTTGTCATTCTCATCCTCCACCTTCACAAATACACTGCAATGAGTGGACAATGGTACTGATCCACCATCTGAGACCTGTATATTTAGCTCATAAAAATGTTTCGTTTCGTAATCAATTGGACCTCTTACTTTTATTTCTCCCGTTTTTCTGTTAATTTCAAATAGCTCTGAATCTTTGTTTCTAAATTCATTTCGAAACGAATACTCAACAATGCCATTCGTGCCTTCATCTTTATCGGAAGCATTTACACGTAATAAAAATGTACCGGGCGGGATGTTTTCAGGCACGCTAACTGTATATTTCTGCTGACCGCAAACTGGCGCGTTGTCATTGATATCCAGTATGACAACAGTGATATTTAAAACGCCGGATTTTTGAGGACTACCGCCATCTAAAGCAGTCAGGAGTAGATTGTATTGAGGGACATGTTCCCTGTCTAATGGCTTTTGCAAAATTAAAAATGGAATTTTACTATCTTTACTTATGTCTTCTATCTCTAATTGCAATTTATCATTTTGACTCAATTTATAAATTCGTAAACCATTTAAACCCACATCGAAATCTTGTGCACCTTCCAACGGAAAACGTGCCCCAGTCACCGCAGACTCTGATATTTCTAAACGATAGTCTGTATCTGGAAAGCTGGGAGCGTTGTCGTTTACATCTAAAATCTCTACCGTTATGCGATGTATTTCTGTTGGGTTTTCTATCACAGCTTTAAGATTAATAGAACATTTCGCAGTTTTACCGCATAGGTCCTCTCTGTCTATCCTCTGGTTGACAAACAAAGCGCCATCTCTCTGGTTTACCAGCAAAAGGTCCTGCTTTGTTCCCGTCACAATACGCAGGTTCCGATCCACCAACACGCTTGTATCCAGTCCGATGTCTTTAGCCACATTCCCCACTACGGTGCCGAGCGGTAATTCCTCCTGGATGGAGTAACGGACTTGACAAGATCCTCTTCTGCTCAACAACGACAGAACCACAAGATGAAGAAATGCCCAGCCATACTGCCGTGTCCTTTTGCATTGGTCGGTCTCCATTATACTGATGTAGGCTACCCGGTTTTCACCATTCAGCTATGCTCTCTATTCAAACGGCAATATCAATTAACATTAAAATCATAAGAAAAATTGCCAGGCAAGTCATTCGTGCCTCTGCTCATTCCATGCCATATAGCCACGATATTATATTGTTCCTACTCTGCAGGCTTCAGTCACTTATGTACGTGCAAACGTTAGACAAGAGGAACGTATTTCAGCGATTTATCCAATTCCTTGGCCAATACTGCCACCACTGGACCATAAATATAAGAAGCGACTCTAAATGCATGAACAGCACAGTTATTCGTGTACATAAAGTTAAAACAAGACAAAACACTAGACGTAACATTTTAAGATAGGCTATATATGAAATATAAACGCTATGATATACACCAATCTTTTTTTCATGTCATACATTCTGACATAACCTAAATATGCCACAATGAATCACATTGTACTTTATGTGCATTTGTTATTATAAAACATCGGCAAACATGCATAATATTTGTGTACATGTTGACCACGAATTAGGTTCGTTTGCAAAAAAGTAAAAGTGCAAAATCGTCTTATCGACTGCATAAAACTGGGTTGGTTAATCCATATGGTGAAAGATTATTGCAAGATTTTAAAAACTAGCTTGAGCAAATTAAAACAAGTAAGAGAAAGAGCTCAGATATGACTGGCTAAATGATACATTGTAAATAATGAAACACAGACGATCAATAAATAAAAAACGCGGATATTAATGTGTAGAGTCATTCACAGACTTTTCGAGGGGCAGGTGGTCGACTGGGGGAGAGGGGCGTAGCTTAGGGTATATTTTGCCGAAGGATGCGGTCCCCTTCGGTAAATGTTGCTGATTATTGGCTATCGAAGGCAGGCACTTAAAACACTTTCAATCTTTCGGACAAAAGGGTCAGCTGCTCAGACACCACCAGCTACCCCCCCCCCAAACCCACTGTTAATATGCTTTGTATTGCTTAAAACGGCTGATGGGGGGTTAACGGAATATTTAGAGCATTGTGCTAAGCGCTTAAACATTTCGGTTGGCTACAACAGGAACAAAACTTGGATACGTAAGTATGAATGTCTTACCTCGCCGGAAACTCTCATACCGGGGTCTTGGACCACAAGCGTATTCCCGTTGCTCCCAGGGACAAGAGTAGAACCAATACTCATTCTAGGTCCAACTAACATGTACCGTTTCTCTCCGGATCTGTACTGGATGCTGTGACACAGAGTTCCGTTCCCGCTCGTGTCTATGCAGTTGGAATCACGTGAGTACTTGGAGGAATAGTCTGGAGGTTTAGAGCACTGTATGACTATCAGGCCGATTATACTGAACACAAGAAGCACTGAAACAGAGCACAAAGAGATCATAAGATAGAATGTGACGTTGTTCTCCTCTTCCCTCTTTTCCGTGTTTTTAATTTCCGATGATGCAAACGCCTCTTTGAGCTCCACTGTGTGAATGAATACGGTTGCTGTAGCTGACAGTGAGATGTTCCCATTGTCTTTTACCAGGACAACCAGTTTATGCACGACCTCGTCTGATTCTTTAAATGGCC